TCAGCGGAGACTGGGGGCCCCCCACGCTTGACGTTATAGACCCTGAACTACGATGCGGGCTGCTGGGGGGAGGGGTACAGGGAGAGGGGGGGGGGCCCCCGCCGCCGCAGGGCCCCTGCAGCAGCAGCAGCAGCAGCAGCAGCAGCAGCAGCCACAAACTGCCGTTTGAGTTTGCTGCTCTCGAATGCATTTTTTTTGCTGCGTTTCAGCAGCTTAATGCAGGTACATTTTTTTTGTCTCCTTTTGTTTTTTTTTTTGTCTCTTTTTGTCTCCTTTTGTCTCCTTTTGTTTTTGTTTTGTCTCCTTTTGTTTCTTTTTTGTCCCGTTTTGTTTTCTTTTTGTCTGCTGTATGTCTTTGTGTTTACTTCTGTCTCCTTTCTTCTGTCTCCTTTCTTTGTTTTGTGTGCTTCTCTGTCTGTCTCTAATTACTTTATCTCTTTCTCTTTTTATTCATTTAATTTTTTTTTTTTTTTTTTTTTTTTTTTTTTTTTTTTTTTTTTTTTTTTTTTTTTTTTTTTTTTTTTTTTTGTCCCTTTTGCCTCCTTTCCTTGTTTCTTTTTCTGTCTGTCTCTAACTACATTATCTCTCTTTTTATTTATTTATTTTTTCTCTTTTTTTTTTTTATTTTTTTTTTGTTTGTCGCTATTCTTTTTTTTTGTCTCCTTTCCTAGCGTACCTCTCTATCTATCTCTCCCTCCTATCTCTCTGTCTCTCTCTCTATTTATTTATTTATTTATTTATTTATTTTTTTTTTTTTATGTATAAAGATATTCTTTATCTAGAAGGTAAATACGGCGAGGCCCAGCATAGAACACGCACAAAGGGAGAGCTGTTGTCTCTCTTAATGGAGGATTTGCATGCGCTCAAGGAGCCTATATCTCTATACCAAGTACCAAACCCTAAACCCTAAACCCTAAACCCTAAACCCTAAACCCTAAACCCTAGTTTATATATAAACCCTATAAACTGACAAAAGAGACAGAATACATACACCACATATGGGCCCCTCTCTATATCCCTCTAGGTGACCCCCTAGGGTTTGCGTGTTTCCTCCTTCTAGGGTTTAGGGTTTAGGGTTTAGGGTTTAGGGTTTAGGGTTTATGCAGGACCGTGTGGATGCGTTCGATAAAGCCTTTGATGAGCTCATCAGCAACAACACATATCTGCAGCGCATGGAGCTCTCTAAGTATGCGCGGCACCCAAACCTATATGACGAACCCACAGACAAAGTAAACCCTAAACCCTAAACCCTAAACCCTAAACCCTAAACCCTAGATATGAGCGATACCACTGGCTTCTGTGCTCGTCGCGGATGCATGGGATGCTTACACCCAATCCTTTTCTTTATCCTCTATCAGCCACTTGAGTTGCTGCTGCTGCTGCTGCTGTTGCTGTTGCTGCTGCTGTTGCTGCTGCTGCTGTTGCTGCTGCTGCTGCTGCTGCTGCTGCTGTTGTTGTGTTCCTTCAGGAGGCAGTCAACCCGGACCTTGAGATTCTGTTAGAGTACTTCGATCAGGAAATAGACCAGGCAAGGGTTTAGGGTTTAGGGTTTAGGGTTTAGGGTTTAGGGTTTAGGGTTTAGGGTTTGAGGTTGAACGCGTGAAATGTGGCGTTTGTAGTCTTCTTGTTTAGCTGCTGAGAGCATAACAGAGGTTAGGGTTTATGTTTGGTGGTTCCGGCTTTAGACACTAGGGTTTAGGGTTTAGGGTTTAGGGTTTAGGGTTTGTTTAATGCAGTGGTTTAGGATATAGGGTTTAGGGTTTAGGGTTTAGACAGTTAGGGTTTAGGGTTTAGGGTTTAGACTGTTAGGGTTTAGGGTTTAGGGTTTAGGGTTTATATGTATGCAGTTCAAGATCCGTGTACGTCACCTGAAGGGTTTAGACATCTCCCATGAAGACTTTAGTGTTTAGGGTTTATATTCCGTTAGGGTTTATTCTGTTAGGGTTTAGGGTTTAGGGTTTAGGGTTTAGGGTTTAGGGTTTATGTGTGTATACAGTTCAAGATCCGTGTGCGTCACCTGAAGGGTTAAAACATCTCCCATTAATGCTTTATTGTTTATTCCTTTAGGGTTTAGTGTTTATTCTTTTATTCTTTTAGGGTTTAGGGTTTATTCTTTTAGGGTTTAGGGTTTAGGGTTTAGGGTTTATGTTTTATATGTGTGTGTATACAGTTCAAGATCCGTGTGCGTCACCTGAAGGGTTCAATAGAAGACAGCGAGCGGCTGCTTACGCTGCGCTTAGCTGTTATGCGAAATTCTCTTATAAAGTCTGAGCTTGCGGCTACACTGCTGGCTGCGGGGCTGGCCGTGGGGACCTCTATCTCAGGTATATATAAACCCTAAACCCTAAACCCTAAACCCTAGAATATAGAGGGTAGAGTGTAGAGTATAGAGATCTTATAAAGTC